GGTATCCAAACCAGAGTAAAAGGCAGGTGGACAAGGATGTTCCAATGATGTAGAGGAAGGGAAAGTCCAGGGAGCACTTGTTAGCAGGCCCCTGCTGTGGAGGACCCATGTCACCCTTTGACACTGGGCCTGGGTATAAGTTCGGTTGGTGAGAAAACTCCATTAGGACATAAGCAGGAATACAGATTAACAGCAGAAATTGACTGGGTGATCTTGGCAAAAGCAGCCCCATTCATTCCAAATTGCAGTGTACTGCAAATTTGTTTTGCTTCACTGTTAACAGCTGACAGTCACTGAACAGTCTTGGCACAGACATGCTCTCTCAGCCTATTTCAAGGATGGTACATGTATTAAGAAGGCTCTCAAATCAAAGAAAGAGGTGGGACTAACATTTTGATTGGTGTGATAGCTTACATGCATTGTCTTGCCAAATAAAGTTCTTTCAAGAGAATGCTGTGCTTTTGTCTTGAGCCCCAGAGTTGTCCTAGATAACTTACCTCATCTGTGATTTGGCAAAAAGCAGAAGGAGAGCAGTAAAATGGACTTGCCTGCCTAGAAAACACAGCCATGGCACTAAGGGGGAGAGGGACTGTATTTCTCAAACCCCTGAAGAGTTTTCCCCTGGGACTCCCTTCTACCTCAAAATCTCTTCCATACCTAGATCTCAACTTGGGAGGAACAGGATTCCTGGCAAGACATACCACAAGAGTTTATAGGTGATGATAGCCTCAACCCGGCATGGAAGGACAAGCTGGTGGGTTTCAGTTCCACTGGAGTCACCAAGTGGCATTTTCATCCAGCCCAGCATTTCTGAGTAGAGGAGGAGGTGCCTAGGGAAGAATGGGTTGGAACAAAGCAAGAGAGTTTTACTAGCTCCTATTGGGAGGCCCACAAGTTACATGTCTTGGGCTCATAATTATCAGACATATAATTAGCTAACTCTACCAAGTTATTAAAAAAACAAGGAAAGAGCCCAGTTGTAGATTCTCACAAGAATAATTTGAATTTGAAAAGACTGGGCCCCTGAGGGGAGCTTTAAAGAGAACCAAGACTGTTGGGATGCTTATTTCAGTTGGCATGAAGATCAGTTAAAGATAAAGACCCAAAGCAGACCTAGGTCATTAGAAAAGTGCAACAAGAAATTAGAGAAAGAATTGCCAAAAGTGAAACACTCAGGACCACATGCGATGTGTCCCGCATTTATTGAACTCGATGACATAGCCCCAAAAGACCTACTTGATATCCTTCCTCCATATCATACAAGGGGGATGGTGGATCACAGTGGCCACCACACACCACCATGACCCATACGATTCTACCCCTTAAATATGAGGGCAGGATAAAATCAGGGAAAGGTGATCCAACTTCCTTTAAGACAGCTAATAAGTGCACAGGGCAATGTTGCCAGAGTCATTCCATGTAGATACCAAGAGAAGTTCTACAAAGGACCAAGCAGAGAAACCCCAAGATTTAAGAGGAATCGATTGTTGCCGTAAATGGGTCCAACTTAACTGGGCAGACATAAATCAGCTCATGAGAAAGATTTTAAAGCCAACCTTACATGCTAGGATGGGAAAATGCTAGTACCAGGGTGCTGCTGTGAGGCTTGACTCCATAGCTTAGTAAGGCTTGAGGCTGGCCAACAGTCCAGGGTCAGAAATAATGCAGCAGGCAGTCCAATATAGTACAAGAGAGAACATAGTCCAGTGGTCTGATGCCAGGAAAGCAGTCACAAAGGTGGAGGCAGGAAGCCACACGGACAGACAAGAGTGGGCTGGAGCATGATAGGGATAGGCTGGAACAGCTGAAGCAAGTAGGAACAAGGTAGAACAAACAAGAGCAAGAGTCCAAGTATGGTGACACCAAGGGCATGAGCACAAGCACGTCACAAAGACAATTTGCATCACTACAGCAAAAGAAAACAGTACTGTTAGGAAGCCTTTTATGCTGGTCTCCAAGGCCTCCAGCTGCACTGCATAATTGTTCCTCAGCTGTTGCAAGTGCCTGCAAAGTTGTTTCTGGTTCTGCAGGCACTTGCAGGATCACTCAGGGCCTAATTCTGACACCAACAACAGGGCAAAATTACAAGAAATAGGAGAATTGCCTAATTAACCTCATGAAGCCATTGGCAACCTTGAAGAAGGGGGAAATTTTTTTTAGAAGGATTAGATCAAATTTTCCTGTTCTTACTAACCAGGGTAAGATTCACACAGTCTGCTGGCAGCCTGGTAAATCTCCCTAAGATTATTTTGCAATGATGACAGTTTTATTTAAGAGGTATTCAGCTACAGTCAATCCTACCCAACATGTGATGGGAATAATGGCTGATGCAAAGCTCCAGGTCTTACCAGTGAGTGCTCAGAGGACATTTAAAACAATAGCCATAGGGTGGAGACAAAAACCCATAGTAATCCAACATTTTCTTGATGGAATAAGCCTATTAAAAAATGAGGTCTTTGCCCCAGCAATTTTGTTCACCATCTTGTAACCGTCTTAAAAAGCAGTAGTTAAATGTCTAGCAAGAGTTCACAGATTCAGTTAAATGTGGCAATCATTTTGTAGATCAAACTGTTAAGCATGCTGCCAGAAACATGATATGCAAAGTAGATACAAAGTGTGGTAGTTAATACTCTTTCTTCCCTACCACCTATAAACACCTTGCAAGGCACTTTTCAAGGCAACTTGAACATCACCACTGGTTAAACTGTGGTTGCAGCTGAGACCCCAAGGGGGTTTCATGCCAGTGTCACAGTGAGTGCCCTGTTGCATCCTGAAAATCATAACACCCCTGGTCCATTATGCCCACAGTGGAGAGCATGAGGTCAATGGGGAGATGGATGACCAAACACTGGGAGCTATTGCAGTATGCCAGTTCCTTACAGAGCAGTGTATTATCAAGCAGTTTCATAATGTGGGAAAAATGCAAGTAAAACAAGGAGGCCATCCACGCCCTGAAAATCCATTTGTAAAATTGAAAACTGATTTTATAAAAATGCTCAAATGCCAGAAGTTCTAGTATGTTTTAGTAACTGTGGGCATATTTTCTAAGTAGGTAGAAGCTTACTCTGTGGTAGAAGCAGTTGGTGAAACAGTTGCAAAGAAACCGATGAAGGTATAGTATGACAGGAGGTTCAAGAAGAGAAGTGGCAGAGCAAAGTAGTATGGGAAATGATACAGATTTCACTTGAATCACTTGGTACACAGCAAAGGGGGGAATGCAGTGGAAAATGTCATTTCATTGATTGTACATGTGTAGATTGAAGCTGTATAAAGAGGACTTTCAAACGAATCCCAAACAAAGGAAAGAGGCGGGACTGAAACATTTGGTGTGACTATGTAGCTTGACTATTCCACTACAGCAGCCTTATTGTTGGGTATATCTTTTGGGCACCCACTGCTGTGTGTGTACTCTGTCTTGCTGAATTAAGCTCTTGCAAGAGAAACCTGTGCCTTTATCTTGGAATGAGTATGAAATCCAGAACATGTCAGAGATAGCAAAGATCTTACGATAGACCTGACTTGGGTGTGCTGAGCCAGGGCCCAACTGGCACAGCCTTTCCCCTGCGATGTGTGGGATCATGCATGCACAAGTAGACTTGAACTGCATTTGTATATGCCACGCATTACATTATGTGGGGGAACACACCTGATGTATGAACCTAAGTGCTGTAAACTGCTTTGGATTTTTTTAAAAGAAAAGTGGACTATATGTTTTGAATGAATGAATGAATGCTGGCAAGCAAGCTGTTTCCTTTTAATTCAGAGAGGATGCTGTGATTAATTTATATAATGCCATCAGTGGCACTACCTTTTATCTCCCTGCGTATAGTAACCACCCTCTCTTTTTATTAGGCTTAAGGAGATGGTTCACAGTGATATTCATGTCACTGTATTGTTTTTTAAATATCACCTGGTTAGTTGAAAGGGACTCAGCCTGTGCTAGATGGGGTTCTACTCCCCCTGGAAATTGAGGCATTCCTAACGCTAGCTGATTTGGCCATAGTTATACACGCCTTAGTTGCACCCCATCAAGTCTATTGTAAAGCGTGCAACATAGTTGGCTTGCAAAACTTTTCAGAAACTTCAGCCAGTCCGGAATGCTGTGACCAGAGTTAACTGGGGGCAGGTAAATAGAGAACGCAACCGCCCTTGTTACAGCACCTCCATGGGCTACCACTGCGTATCCAGACAGAACACAAAGTGATGGTTAGGACCTATAAACCCCCAATGGGCTTCCATGGGACGTGGTTGAGGCCCCATCAGTGAGGGTGTTCAAAGATAGGCTGGACATGCACATGGTGGGCCTGTCGTGAGCGGAGCCGGCTGGAGCCAGGGGTCAGACTAGATGGCCCAGGAGACCCCTTCTGACTTGCTATATAACTTTGGACCAGGCTACCTAACACTTCCCTTTCTTCCATGTGAATCTGCCCTGGTTTTCCTTGGTAGGAGGCCCTTCTCTTATTGTCACAGAGGCATATTTGGAGGGGTACAAGAAGACATTCTCCGTGGCTGCTTCCAGACTGTGGAGTTCCTGCTGAAGGAGACTAAATATAAATAAAAATACATTTTTATTCAAGCAGAGGTGTAGGCTGGTTTTTTTGGGCTGGGGGCTCTTTCTCTTCTATTATTGTTGTGTTTTTTAAACTTGTGTTTTAATGTATTTGTTTTATGATGGTTTTAACTAAGTTTTCATTTTTAATGTGAAAAAGACACAAATCTTAGCAGGCTTAAATCACACAAACCCACAGAGCAATTTCTTCATTCCTCCACTTTAGTATCATGAGCCATGTGGACTTATACTAACTAGCCCAGTTTTTCAGGCTTGCTGGGTGGGCTGGGTCTGTGGAGCCAGCACAGGTAGTCAGACAACCGGATGTCTCCACTGGCTCACCTGAACTTACCAGTTTGGCAAAGAGTGTTTTAAAATAGCTTGGCATGTTATCAACTATGCAGCAGGAAAACGTTTCATTTATTAAAGCTTCAGTGGAATTTCAGTCTATATGCTGCTCCTCCCTGTTCCAGCCCTCTTTGCCTTGCCCTTTTCCTCCCACCTGCATGAAAATCTTTGTGCATCAATGTTTTGTCTGCCAGAGAGGTAGCTTGTGCAGCAAGAGAACTTTCTGGAGGTGTTTCTTCTCTGTCACCCTTCAACTATGGCAGTAAAGGTCTCTCACTGGCATAACTATCTTCAGGTGATCCTGTCCCGTGAAAGCCAGAGAGTGGAGCATTTCCAGAAGGCAGAGAACATTTTGTTGCTTGTACTGGAGAGAGTCAACGCAATGGATCCCAGGTTTATAGTGGATTACTCAAGAAATCTGGAAGCCTTGGAATTTGCCCTCTCTGCTGCAGAAGATGAGGTTGCCATGGAAGTTCCCTTGTGCATTGATGCCAATGCTCTCTTGATGCAGGAGTGTTCAGGTGAACAGAGGGACTCTGAGAAAGTAACTCATGGGAACTATCAGGTAACAGGATCTTGCTACTTAGATATACCCAAGGAATGCCCTCGCCTAGGAAACTGGACCAAAGAAGATGTTTTCACTGTGGTGGACAGTGCTGAATCCAGTGGCCACATTGTGCCAGGCAAGGTCCTTCATCTCCTGAAAGAACTGATTGTTGCTGCCATTGTTCATTGCAAGCGACAATCTCTCATCCAGCCAGGTACTGTCTGGAGGGAAATAAGCAGGTGATGTGCATATATGTGTAAGACGGACAAAGACAGACAGAAGCTTCAAGGGTTTCCATACTTACTTGGGAGTAAGACACTGAACTTAATGAGATGTTGGAATAAACATGCACAGGGTTGGGCTTAATAAGAACTTATGAGAGGAAAGAACTGAAGAATGCAGATGTGGGCCAGATATACATTGCAATGCTCACCAGTATGTTCCAAGGCTGAGGGACATACACAAAGTGACTCTTGTGAATGAAAGGGTGCCTGTGTGTTCACATTTCTTGGTGCCTTGCCTCTCCTACTTGTTATTTTTAATTCTTTTTAAATACCTGCAGCTGGGATCACTTCAAAACAAAGTGAGAGCCTGTGGTTCTTTCCATCTTCTTTTTCCACAAATGCTTCTGGACTACCAAAGAAGCTCAGAGGCATTCTTAGGAAATGACAGTGGTGAGTGACTGCAGACTGATGCTTTTATCTTTCATGCATCAGTTCTGATGCTCAGAACAGTTTATCAGATTACCAACTGGGCCCACAGTCCCTCTGTTTGGGACTGCAGTGCTAGTATATTTTTATGCTGGAAGGGTGAATTATATAAGAGAAGGTGGGGTGTAAAAGTTGAAAGAAGTCACGCACATTCTCTCTCTCTCTCTCTCTCTCTCTCTCTCTCGCGCACACACACACACACACACACACACACCCTGGTGATACTACAAAAGGAGAAAGATGTAAGCCAGGATGGGACATTATTTTTGTGCAAGTGCCCACTTATGAGATTTTTAGCATTTGTTCAGTACTGGTGCATCAGAGAACAATCCAGTCCTGGCCTAGTAAATGGGGTGAGTGGAATAGTGCTGCTGTTGCTGCTAATAAAAATACAGAACAACAGCAACAGTCCAGACATTCAAGTTCAGTGTAGCAAAGGAAGAGTATTCAGTGCACTAAAATGAAATGAAATATGTAAGAAAATGCTCACTTGAGATCTCTCCCTGAATGGCTGTGGTCAATTAACAGATAAATGACTATCATTTCCACTTAGTTGGAGAAAGAAGAGGTTCTGAATTGTGGTACTGCAATGATGTGCCAAATTGTTTTGTCAGATTATATTAATAATGGGAGAATAGCTGTTATCCACATTATAGTGATAAGGTTACAATCAATATATTCCAGTTAATGTGGCATTTTACGTTTGGAACAGAAAACCTTTGTTGGTGATCAATATCTTCTGGAATACAGTTTTAGCTTCTGCATTTTTCCCTTCCTTTAGTGTTACCTTTGGCAATTCTTTCTTCCTACTACTAGGAAGGGTGTGGACATCACATAACTGAAGCTTCCTAGGGTGAGACAGTCGTTCTGGCAATAATACAGAACACGTCTTGTAAAATATTCCCGTAAAAGGAATATATCAAATCCTGATGCAAGAGCTCCGTTTCAGGAGTGTGACACATGCTATGGCTGGTTAGAGCGGAGGCCTGAGGAGGAACTAGTCAGGCTTGGCAGCTCATCCACAACCTGCACCCTTTGAAAAATGCACGCTTGAAACAGAAATTGAGGCAGCAATCCTCTATTTACACAGGGAAGAATATGACTGGGGCAGGAAACTACTGCAAAATGATTTCATAGCCATTTCAAACCCAGCAGGTCAGCTATTTCCTGAGGTAAGCCAGGCTGAAAGTAGGGCAACCCCTCGGGCATCGCACATAAAAGGGGTGCATGTACAGATTTGTGTAATATTTGCATGTGCTAATATAGAGGTGGACATTAGAAATAATTATTATAACTTGAAGAAAGCCTGAAACATCTGGGGCACTTTTTACTTTAGGGGAAAGCAACTCAGCAAGAGAAAATTAAATATTTGGCATGGGAAAAGGCTTTCCCCCCCTTCTGTTCATTCGATAAAACTGAATAGCAGCAAATCCAAGACAGATAGAAGGAAAGTACTTCTCACAATGCACAATTAGCTTGCCTTGATGGCTACTGGCACTGATGGTTTGAAATGAGGACTGTGCCAGTTCACGGACAATGGATCTCTCAGTGGCTGCCAATCAGTGATGGCCTCTATATGGAGCTCCATCAACTGAGGCAATTTGCCACTGGGTGCCAGTCATGTGCAGGATGGGGCGGCCAACAGAAGAGGGCTGTTGCCTTCCATTACCTGTCAGTGCAGTTCTCATGTGCAACTTTTCTGCAACTGTGTGAAATGTGATGAACCCTGGGATGAGAGGGACTAAATGGATCTTTGCTCCAATCCTGCCTGGGTTTTTTTTCTTTTTTCTTTTTAAATTAAGCACAAGAACCAGTTAATAAGACGTCACTGTGGCTGAAAACAGCTGTGATTAGAATGTTGGATTGGGACTAGGGAAATCCAAATTCTAGTCTCTGTTCAGTCATGAAGCTCATTAGGTGACTTGGGGCCAGTCCCTGACTCTCAGCCTAATCTACCTCATGGGGCTGTTGTGAGGAGAAGATGGGGAAGACTATGTAAGCTGCCTTGGGTTCCATGCAGAGAAAAGATGGGATATAAATATAATAAAAAAGCACACATGTGTGCCCTCTATCCTGAATTTGTTGCTGTGGCAGCAGCAAACAACTGCAATAGCAGCCTTAAAAGGTGAAATTTAGCTTTAAAACAAGGCATGTACTTTTCTCTTTTTTCAAAAAAAGGACAAACTGCTCAAGTGGTGGTGCATGGGGGAACTGTCCAGTCAGGACTGGGCGTGCTTAGTGGGCATGGAATACTGACTGCTTATGTGGGACAGTGGACAGAAAATTGGAGTGGAATAGAGAACCATGGGAGAGGGCCTGGAGCATCCCACATCAAAACGTTCCATTGCAAATCCCGCTAGTTTCACATCAACTAGTTCCTGCAGTTTTTCTTTTTACCTGTGCATCACACTGTTTGCCTTTATACTAGAGTAGGAGTGCACAACTGCTAAGAGTTTGCATTGGTTCCTCTCTGTGATTCCTGACATGAGTGCTGTTTCCCCAGAGAAATAAAGGATAAGGCTACAGTAGGAGACTGAAGATGAGGATGCTACAGGCAAACCTCTTACCCTCAATGCATTGATTCCCTCTTGACCCTCTCCAGGTGAGCTCAGTGCTGAGAGGCTAAAGGAAGATAGCATGCAGTTGCCCTTGCTGGTGTCCAGCGGTTGGAAAATGATCTGCTTTAACATTGTCCCTGTAATGAGGAGAAGGCAGGGTGCTCTGAAGCTGGACAAGAAGGGGCAAGAAAAGGGTTTCCCGCAAGGCAGCTTGAGCAAAGTCACCCAGGAGGCTGACTTCATCCCTGCAAGCTTCTATCACTGGAGGTAAAATGTGATGCTGTGCTTTCCCATGAAATGTACCTGAGGGGCAAGGGTCCAACTTCTCATGTTTCCCATCTTGAGCATTTCCTCTAGATCATGCCCATGGCACAATGTTTCTCTTGAATCGTGTGAAGGAAGGCAAAAGTAGACCTCCCAAAATCATACATACTGGCCACTGGTTGCTGTACAACTTACCTTTACAACAAGCTTGTGTGTGTTTGCAGTCACAATGTTTGAAAATAGTTTTTCTTAAATGAAAACAGGAATTCAAGGGAGGTCTTTAATCCTCTTTCTGCAGGATTCTCTGATGCATAAAGGGGCAATGAGGCAAAATGGGGATGTCTTAGGATATCCTATCTTAGAATAAAATTTGGGAAAGGCAGATGATCATAGCTATAATTCTATGATATCATGCTGTGATGTAAGAGGAGGATTCAAAGAATACCATCACATTCAATGTTATAGAGTCATTGCTTTGTCCTAAATTATGCTTGATATCCTCTACTTCAAAACTGACAGAGAATAAGACTTGCAACTTTCCTAAATAACCTGTTCAGGCGTGCAATTCAACTGAATTATCAGCTAATAAAAATCTTTGAAAGGGTGAGAATCAAGGAGGAGGCCAGCTGGAGTGAAGTATGTAAGTTTTAAAAGATGGAGCAGGTGCTGTTTTAAATTCTTAATTGCTGTGATTTTCATTATAGGGATATGTGAGCTGTATTCATATTTGTATGGAAAGGTACAGAATTCCAATCCAGGCTCTGGTGATTTTATAAAGCAGGAAATTAAACAACTTCTCATTTCCAGTTTCATTGGAGAACAAAACACAATGGCTAAACTTACTCTTCTATTCTTAAAATAGAAGCTTAGGCTCTTACAGGGACCAATGGTAGCATTCAACTGTGCCCCAGAGCTAGGGTTGGCAATGTTGCTTTAGCATAAACCAGCAGTTGCACAATGTAAGTAGTGCTGGCATATGCAGTGGAGGAAAGCAAGCTGGAGAAGAAAAGAGATCTTCCAGACCTGTTCATTTACTAGAGACCTTGAGCTGCCCATCAAGGATTCTGGCTTTTATCACTCTTTCACTTTATGGAGGATATGAGTAATTGATTGCAGTCCAAAGAATGCAATGAGAGTTACAGAAATGCTTTCAACCATCAGATAGGCTACAATAGAAAACAACAAAAACAACACAGGTTTGGCATATGGTGATCATAACTGCCTATCTATTACTGGCCTCTGTTCTAGAAACACAGAAACAGAGCAAGTCAGAACGGGTCTCCCAGGCCATCTAGTCTGACCCACAGACAGAACATCTGAAAAATGGTTGAGAGCACACAGGTACAGAGGTACAGAGCATTTGAAAAATGGTTCTAGGTATAGCCACATAGTAATCTTGGACCTGTGCTTTGGAATACAATAAACAGGCAACAGAATAAGAAGGTGGGTATTTGGTGGATGCATAGCTGCTCCTAGCTGGGGTAGTCTGAACAGTACTGCTTCCACAGAGAGCAATTGTTCTGGCTAATTGTGGGCAATTGCCCTAGAATTTTAATGTGGTAGAGCATATTGTCACATCTTACAGTCGCTGTCTTGATAGACATGTCCTAGACAAATAGGAGATGAATTCAGCAGTAAGCTGTTTTTCATATTGGGATAACCTGCAACCAATTTTGGCTGTATGAAAATACTCAAAGCTTGTTCAACCAAGATCATCCGTGTATGATGGGCAGATATAATCTGTCTTTATGAGAATGATTTTCTGTCTATCTTTTCAGAATCCAAGTCATATAAGCCTTCTTGATATGTCCCCCTAATGATCACTAAGGCCTCTTGGAAAGAGTGAATGCAATGGAAATAAAAGATATGTCTTGGGGTCAAGAGCTGATCTAGAAGATGTGTTTAGCACAGTTACTGTAAAGATCTAGTGTGAAGCTGCATCATTGGGACAGTGCACAGTATAAGTGGATCAAAATCTGACCAGTTTGCAAGCAACGTTTCTTGCATGGTCTTTAGATCTGTCATGGCTGAAAACAAAATTCCAACTGAAATGTATAAACATTCACTTAATTAAGATGTGCAAACTAGAAATGATGCCAGCTTTTCATAGAGGTGGTGATAGTTGAGCAGTGAGTTCTGAAGGCTTTGCTTTTGATGTAACTGAGTTTCGGATGAACCACACTCTCAGGCACCCTCAGGCTTTGTCTCACAAAATGAATCTCTCCTCAGTGCATGGATGAGATGACTCTCCCACAGATGTTTTAGAGGCACAATGGAAGAACTATTAGGTTTGGCTTGAATAGGCATGAAAGACAGTGGGTGGGACAGCCTTGCCTATAATCCAGGCCACCCATCTATCGGGAATAGGAATCACTGCAGTATGAGGGAGGGTATAGGTTTGACCATTGCATTTATGGTTGATTTACACGTTCCGTCTTTGAAGATATTCGCAGATGTGGGAGTGACTTTAACATACCTGAACAAAAATAGCACATGGAGTGCTGAAACTGGGTAAAGTTAAACTGTGATGGACAGCATTACTGAGTCTGCCTGCCCCACTGCTGATTGACAAGCCTACTTGTCTACATTGCATACATATTCTGTGCATAATCACCCACTGATGCACAGTGTTTACTCCTCAAAACAGTAGAAAGTCCATGAATAAGCATATTGGACTCCTAGGGTGCCACAGAGACCTCACTGAAAAGTAAAGGCTTTTCCATTGTGTATTGACCCCATCCAGTTTGCAAAAGCAGTGCATATGTGTTGCATTTCTTTATTTATAAAGTATGTCTTAACTTTGCCTATAGACAAATCTACTCTCTAAATAATTTTGGGGAGCTGTGGCTGAGGTCTCTCTTAGTACTTTGTATTTATGTGACTTCCAGTTTGGAAATTATACACCCATTCTTGAGTACTTAAACAACTGGCAGTGACTGTAATCTCCACAGTACTTGTATTCCATGTGAAACTGTGTTCTCAGAGAGGGATCTGCTTGGAGAATTAATGTGCTGATCTAAGTGCTGAATGATATCAACAAGCCAGTTCATGTCTGCTTGTGAGAATTTTGGCACTGCTTGCCAGGATTTCCGTCCATAGTTGGCTACACTGAAACAGTGAAGATTTCAACTTCCATGCTGTTCTTATTTAGGTACTCCACCAGTCGCCCTATCCTGAAACTTGTCCAAATTGTCAGCACCCTGAAGGGGCATCGCCTGGATGGTCTCCGCCTCCTTGGCCAAGTCAGCCATGAGAATTGGAGGGAGGAAGGCAAGGAAACGGTGCTTACATTTCACCACTTGAAGGTAGTTCTTCCTTCCCTTTATCCCCCTTTTTTCATTTGCCAGAGAGCAAGAAGTGGTTTCTGTGTAGTTAGAGCACAAATGTATTTCTGGTGTATATTTGGAAAAGACAAATAGCATTCCTTCATTTGTCATTCAGTCAATCAATCAATCAAATTAAAAGCATGCAACATCTAAGAAGGAAGACAGAGCCTTTCCATATCAGGCATTTATGGTGCACTAATGATAGTGAGTGCTTTACACGACATCTTCCTCTTCCAGGGCCTCTCCTGTTCCTTGGAAACATTTTCAGGGCTCCCCACCACCTGCTGCCCCAAATCAAGGAAAGTCTGGTATTATCTGTGAATGGGGCCATAGAATCCTTGCTGAATCTGTGCAATTCTGGCACACCACAGTGCCATCTTGTGGTTGTGTAATGAACTATGTTCAAAACTAAAAAGGCAGAGAACAGAAGACCCCAGCGAAAAGCTTGTATAAAAAATCAGATCATGATCCTGCAAAAAATCTGGAAGCAGAAGCTTTGATAGAGTTGTGGATTAAGAGGCTCATGTAGAAAAGCCCAAGGCAAGGTTCTGTTGCTGTTTCTAATCATCCCCTTTTAAAAAATCCTGTAAAACAGGGGTATAAAACTTCTTCCAGGCCAAAGATCAAATTCAGTTTTGGAGATGCTCTGGGAGGGTGCATTCTAAGAGTGAGTGCAGCTCTGGACAAAACAGTGTGGTCAAAAAACCCAACTGCTAGCATATTTTAACTTCAAGCTTGTATTGCCATAACTAAACCTTGGGAAAGGCATTTCAACTTTTCAGAATGGGGGAAAATACTGCATGAAACCTAGTAAGCCACCAACCAATTAGTGGTTTGGGAAATGGAGGTTGGTGGCTCTGATGTCACTGGGAAGTGTAGCTACTTTGGGTTGTTGTTTGAACATTTAAGGAGTTATCCATGGTGCTGTACCTAAACTACAAAACAGAGTGAATATGCTACTAGTGACATTAGAAATGGGATGACCTCAGGTGGATTGGATTTGACCCACAGGCCTGAGATTCAACAACCCTGTTAAAAGATTTTGCATCAAGATCCTTATTCCTTATCCCTTCTTTACCTTTGACCTGTTCCCCAAAGAGCCACAAATTTTGCTTGGGCGATATAGGGAAGGATGGGGAACAGTGATACAAAGGCAGCACTGAATTCTAGTCACACATTTGTTCTCTGACCTTTGTGCAAAACCCAGTGGATTGCTTTCTCCATACAACAGTGGTGGGAGTGAAACAGATATTCAGTTTTAATGTATGCAAATGTATTTGCTTTTGGACTTGGGTGGGTGGGCTCTCAGCCAGGTCCGTATTTGCAAAATGGGGATAAGGGTGGCCCAATGTGAAAGTGAACACAGTTGTTAAGCCTCATATAATTGCAGATTGTGGTGACCAAAAAAGTTCTCAATTCTACTGACAAACTAAAGTTAATAAATCACTGAGTCCAGATGGTACCCATTCTTAAAGAAGTCAAGTATGAATTTGCTGCCCATCTTACTGATTATAGGGGCATGTTACAAAAACAAGTAACATGTCTCTATGATTAGCCTCTGGACCAGAGGATTGGAGAATGGCCACCAATTTTTAAAAATGTATCCAAGGATCTGGCAAATTACAAGGTGGCTAGTTTATGCCTGTTCTCGATAAATTGGTTGAAAGTATTTTAAAAATAGCTTGCAATGTGCAAGAGACTGGCCACTCTCTACACTTTGTATCTATTTAGACTTCTCAGAGAAACTGGCTTTACACTTTGAGAACACGCCAAGTTTATCATAGTCAAGGAAGTATTAGTGTTCTGCTCTGTATTCTATTCCTGATGGTATGTTTTCCATATCGTACCATTTCAACGTTGGTCTTGTTACAACATCTCAGAGCACTAACAGCAGGAGATCCTTTGGTGCTGGATGGGTTGCATTTCATTTTTGGATGTGCTGCATCTCTCACCACTTCAGGCTAGAGAACATGGAGTAGCAGATGTGTTTTGCAAAAACTTGTCTGCCTGCCATGAGACTTACAGGCAATTTACATTGTTGCATCTTTTAATTCTAGCTAACTGTAAGATTATTCTCAGAAGGAGGCCAGTTTCAGAATGCATTTTACGTTTATGTCATGTTTTTCTTTAGCTTGTTTGCGAATTCTATTCTTAACTGCTTGGTTGTTTACTAAGGTTCCTGATTTGCCTTAACCTCATGAGTTGCTTTGGTTTGATGAAAAGCCGATCCTTTACAATGTTTCCATCTTGTGTCACTTAATTGCCAAAACAAGTTTCTAGGAAACAGTAATGTAGCAAGATACTTTCAAAGCAGCAAAGTCAATGCTGGCTTCTCCCATGAAGCATGCTGAAGCTTTCACCAGGCTACTAATTTGGGTTGTCATTTAGGCTGACAAAACTGGGATAATTTCTCAGAACATGTTAGCCCAAGTCCCTTACCTCATCAGCCTTTTATGATAGTACAGTCACTTTAGGAATTTCACACAATGGGCATGGTGTTTCTCCCCAGATGCCCTTGCCATAAGGGAGAGGGTGTATTTCTGTGAAGTAAACGCTTTTGGAACCCAGCCCACATGGTGTATGGTGCTCTTGGCTGATGTTCCATCTAGGGAAGCAGGTCAAACTGTTTAAGGTAAACAAGGAAGTAGATTGCATGTGCATGGAACTTTTTTTTTTTGCCTGACAAATAGATTTGGGAGGTCAGTAATATATCTTCTCAGTTCAAAAAGTTTATTCATGACATCACAATAAACAGCTTCAAAGGACACAACAAGGGTCTCAATGCTATAATAACACCAGTTGACCGAGAACACACTTCAGCTTTTCAGTTTTCCCTACGCATCTTGCATGTATTATCCATACACCAACACAAAGCAACTCCTTAATAAGCAGTGCTAAGCATGGCACCTTTATTTCTGAGAACCTTCCCAAAGACAGACTTGTGTTGCTATTTTTCTCTATATTGTCTTCAGCAATTGTTCATCTTTCTTTCTAGATGGTGCTGCTCTGGGCCACTCACTTTTTTTCTTCCCCTGAAGACTGGATGAACCTGGAAGGGTCCGTGTATCGTCTGTTAGTGATCTTGCTTTGCTGCTTAGTGACCAAAAATCTTCCACATTTCTTGTATCCAGAGCAAAATCTGTTCCAGGGTGATGGTCTGCACCTGAGCTCTTTGTACCCCAAAGTAGAGAGCTTTACTAGGAAGCCTGAGCATTTCCTGAAGTTCCATTTTTCCATAAAAGACAGCACCACACCCCCTCCCATGGACAATGGTCTCAAGGAATTACTCCATCTACCTGCTGAAGACAAAGCTTACTGGAGCACTGCGTTCTTTGATATGCTTCTTAATAAGGTAATCTCTCTATACACACAGTTTATGATCAGAGATTCCAGTGCCATCTTTTGGCCTGTGGGGGAGATCTTGGGACTTCCCTGTGGAGTCAGAGGCACACTAGCTAAGCATTGATGGAAGCTTTTATTTGGTTTATTTAAAAAAATAAAAATAAATTTAATTTTTAGTTTATTTTTAAAAATTATTTTTAAAATGCATATGCCATCCTTAAGCACTGCTTAAGTTAACACATAAGTTATCACATGTTAATATAATAATACATTTTAAAAGTCCAAGAACTTGCATTTGAGATGATCCACTGATCATTAGTTCAAATCATTGGTTATACAATGGAAAATATAGTTTTTGAAAGTATATAATGACATGTTCATGCAATCTGACATCAAGACATAAATGTAATGCATGGCAAACTGCCTTCTACTGATTTAGATTTCTGTTCCATCCAGCTCAATAGACTTGGGCATAGATGTCCACAACGCCTTGAAATGGCTTGTAGTGTGAAAAAAACTAATTTGTTTAATGAACTTGAATTCCTGTAATTCAAGCTGTGCTCTCAGCTACAGAGAAAAGTAAATAGTGTTGTCTGTCTAATACACGGGAGTGAAGGGAAAAGATACGCTATTAAAAGATAGATTTAGACTAACAGTTCTTTCATGCCTCAACTTGCAGCTTTCCCCAAAGGCTATAGCTAAATACACAGGCTCTTTCTCTTTCTATTTTCAAGAAGTAGAAGGAAACATATTTTGATAGTCACTGATGAAACCTCTATGTAGTAATCAATTTGTTCGTCTTTAAGGTAATACAAGACTGTTGTTATTAATTCCTGCATGTATATAAGATTCAGGTAAGATGCTTCCATACAGATCTCCCAGGGGCGAATTATGTGTTAGCGAACTGTATGTAAGGAAGTCCCAGCAGCTCCTTTCCCATTGCAAGAACCATCAGAGGAAGGCATGACCTTGTTCCACTAAGATGAGTGTCAAACGGTTCTCCACCAAAACATGCCACCTATGCTGACATATTCTTGATCTCTGACTGCTGCGGTTGGAGACCCACCACGGTTGCCAATATGGAATCCTCTGGGGCAAAAGCAGAGTTGTGTGAGCATGCTGGGAAGCAACAGCAGGGAATTTAGCTTGGCTGGAGAAGGGTTGAACACCTCCTTTCACCCACTCTGCCTGCCCCCCCCCCCCACAACTGACTCCCTAAGCCCAGGATACTTTGCAACATAAATAAGTTTGTTGTAGCTTAGATATGGCTCTGCATCTTTAGTCAAACGTAAATCCCATTATATTCAATAGGCTTCCTAAAGGTGCAATCTTATGATATTTAGACATTCTAGAAAAGTTCCCAGCCTGCTCCAGCCAGCTGTAGAACCTTTTCTGCCTAAACAAAAGTGGCACTGTGCTCTTTCAGTGACAGAGCACGTGCATTTCCTTGAGGTCTGACAGAGGTACCTCATGGGGCTCCAGAGGCCAAGACACACTGACAGCTTTTCTGCATGAGGTTGTCAATTGCCATATCTGTTTTTGGTTTCATTGCAAAATTGAGATCTAAGTTCCACACACAGCTTTTCCTTCCCTGCATTTCTACTTTATACATTCTAGGTGGAGCTGTGCTATAGCAGAATAGTGCAAATAAGCAAGCACAAATAGCACTTTCAGAAATAATATCTCATTTCCCCAGTTCTAAAAGAAAAAAAAAGGAAAATGCTCTGAAAAAACAAAAGGAAACTGGGGGATCATGAATGTTATCTAAGGTATCTGTTAACTGGAAGCTATCATGAGCACACACTAAAAACTTAGTATAGAAAAGTTGTCAGAAGGGTGATAGATGCACCCCGAAACTGTTAGCTGTGCAACTCTAGTAAGATTCTGTGTATTGTCTATGCATATGTGCAAGACAATGAAAAGTCCCATGAGGAGAAAAGGCCAAACAATTCACAAGAGCAAGGATATGCTCTGCAAGAAAGAGAGTAGGCCGCATGCTTTCATTTTGTCCAAGATGCTCAAATACCTGTTAGTCAATTTGGAGAACTCCAGTTGTCAAGGCAGAGCTCCCACATCTTCTGACAAATACTGGCCTTGCGTCCACCCTGGAAATCTGTGGAAGGATAGTCTAATGATTCCTTAAATAGGATATACATTAAATAAATAATAAATACATACTAGTTTTTGGGGGGGAGGGGCTACCAGCTTACCCTTCCCAGTTTAAGAACCATTGGCAGCTATCTTTTCTAAAGTGTTGATGGGTATGTTCAATTTAGCAATGTAGAGAGATGGGGGGTTGTGCTGTTTTGCAGTAATGCAGAAGTCATTTAATGTAGTTTAACATACAAATTTTGTTCAGTTTCAGGTATACCAGATTAAGGACACACAGCGTATTAATGCAATGTCAAGCATCCTTTCAAAAACCAAGAAAATGGTGAATAACCAGAGCTGAAAACCTCAATATGGCATCACAGAACTCCCTGCCTGGGTGGACTTGGTTTATGTTTAGCTCATTTCCTGTGATCAAAATGCCTTTCTGCTTTTGACTACTTGCTTAAGTTTTTGGCTCTCATCATCATTACTTTATCAGGAAAACACAGGCAGAGAATGACAACCTGTGATTGTAACAAGGTGGCAGTTCCATCATTAGGGATGGTGGTCCGATTTTATAACTGTCATCTTGTATGGAGCAAGCTAATGCACACAGTCATCTTATTTTCTGTGTAAAAATATACTTTAATGAGTAAGTGAATGTGTTATGATGTTCTGAGTCTCTGCAGGAAAAGACAGGCCTGTAGAACTAGGAGCAGACGAAGCAAGCTGCCTCTAAAAGAATGTGATGGAGACAGAGGCCCACACCCTTGCTGGGTTCATGAAAACAAGGACAATGCTCCAGAAGGAGGTTCTGCTGCTTACTGCCCCTCACTCCCTCCATTCTGACCCTCATTTGCAATCTGATTCCGAGGAGATTGTAACAGCTGCAGGCTGTGCCAGTGCATGTCTGTATAGGCTTTAAACATAGATCTGGTACACCAAGACACTTAAATGCTACTGAAGTCCTGGAGTTAATGATGGTGTCTATTGCTATTACCTGTCATTTAGTTGTAAAATATGGTGCTTTGTTGCAAAAAGAGCCTTACAAAAGCTCTGCTGGGGCATATATAATGTCTGTTATTGCAACAGGATAGATATGTATCTTTCTGCATTTGAAGAGTTTAAGAAATACTAGGTTTATGGTTTTTTGTGTACTTGTATCAAAAATGTATGTGTTTTGGGTGTTCTCATATAGTCCGAATTACTTTTAATTATGATGCATATATTAATTCATATTTGTGGGAAAGCATATAGTGTTAATATACTTCTGCATGAAGCATGCTGGTTATTAAGTTAATTCTTCCCTTTTTCCCACTTCCTGGCTCAATGTTTTCTTCTAGGCACTCACAGTAACTATGTAACCTATAAATGCCAGCAGAATAAGTGTAAACTACTTTATAGCACACATATGTTGATTTAAATAATCTTTATAAAACGCATTTTGGAACCCTGCCTGGACCCAGGTTTGTCACATCAGTGTAGATTAGGCTCTGGATGCCAGCATGGGATGTGGCGCTGATGCAGGATGGGTGTGATAGCATACAGTGAACCTCTATAAATATATTAACAATATTTGAAAGAACAGGTTAAAAATAAACATATATCTTGTTCCCAGATCTCATTACCTCCCCCACCCCAAACATCCACTGAAATTCCTTTTGCCTGCAGCTTAACACTACACAAATTAGCATGCCTGAATGCCTACTAGAGACTCTAGGACCATGGAAACAACTTTTTACATTTATTATTATCGTGCAACAAAAAATCAAATCAAACTGCACCATTAGAAGAAGAAAAGAATAAAATAAAGTAAAACATTACAATTTTTGAATGAGATTTAAATAGATTCACAGCACTGATTGGGGATATCATATATACCTATATATCAGAGTATAACAGAACAAACTGTTAGGAAAAATAATTATTCATAGCCTTCAGCAAAGGCATTTCAAATGCCTATACATATATCCATTTATAGATTATGCTTAAAGGTCACTCATTCAAAGACTTAGAGTTTCATTAACTCCTCTACCCATTGTGTTATTGCAACTGATGTTTTTCATTTCATTGTTATAATATTAGTCTTTTGACTGTCAAAAGGACATGGAAATCCATTTATATCGACCTTGTGTTAAATTGCAAGAAACAAGTAGGTAACTCAAAAGAACATCTGTATCCTTAAATATTAAAGAACATTCCATCACAAGGTTTAACTGAACTGCTGCTTCCTTCTAAAAGGAAGGAAGCACTGCCAGAACATATTAGGAAGCATTAAGCACTGTACCTCCAACAATTGGTCAATTTAATTAAGTCTTTATCAAAGAGCCATTGCGGCATCCAGTATACTCAAGAGGTCTTTATTTTTGCTCAGATTAGCATAGCCTAAGATCCATGACCCCTTCCAAAAGAGACGATAATTAATTCATTTGGCAAAATGACGTGCTCCAGTTCCTGATTTCATTTTTGGTTTAGACCCTGTGTATTCACCAATAATAGATAGTTTTATATGTGTACTGTAGGCCAGTGTAGCTGTTTGGCCTCAATCAATACTTCCAACAACACAGGTGGCTCTGACACTATAAAAGCAGCAGGAGCAAACCTGGATTCTAACAGATTCAATTGTATATATTGCCATGCAATCATGGCTGACAATTTATATTTAGTGCAGAAAGTGGCAAAAAAATAATCAGGGTATCAATCAATGTCCCTTGAGATCTCATTAATGAACTTATTCAAATGTAACTTAATCATTTGTCATATATCTCTTGGGACATGTATTCCCATGTAAGTAACAAATTCAGCACAAACTCTAAATTGCTACTTAGTTAAGTCTATGGGGTGTGTTATCTCCAATAGACATATGTTCCAGCTTTGACTATTTAATAGAATAACCAATACATGTGCAAAACCATTAATGTCTGCATCAAAGCTAGAAGAGATTATTGGAGTTCCAAAATAATTAATAGTAGATAATCAGCAAAAATAAGTTTTTATTCTAACACATTTTACACAAATCCATTCATATTAGGATCTTGTCAAATACCACACACTGGGGTTTCCAAACAGAAATTGAATAGCAATGGGGAAAGAGGACATTCCTGTCTAATATTTCAAGTCCACAAATGAATGAATACATTAAAAATATCTCAGATAGGACTCTGGTTCCAGGGCTTACATATAGAATTTTAATCCATTTCTGAATTTGTGGAGGAAAATTGAAATTTTTCAGTGTGACAAAGATACATGTCCAATAAATTTTATTGAAGGCTTTCTCCATAGAGCTAAAGGTGGCTGAGATTGTTCTACCCTTTCATGCAATCAGACCAACAACCAATATAAAATGATCAGGCCCCAGCCTATTTTTACACAATCCTACCTGATCTAGTTGGACGAACATTGTAATAAATCTTGGTATTCTGTTAGCCATAAGAACAGTTAATGTTTTAATATTAATGTTGATCAAAGGAATACGTGACCAATAGAGGGTATTATCTTTTTCTGATTTAGGAATTATTGCAATGTAAGCTTCATTGGGTGCTGATGAAAGAGCCTCCATTTCACTTATAGAGTTATACAAATAATAAAGCTTAGGAACTAGAAAGCTACAAAATGTTTTATACCATACAACTAGAAATCCATCCAAACTAGGTTGCCCTGTTTTCATTTTAGTTATTGCTTTCATAATTTCATCAATCTGCAGAAGCACCATTAAAACTGCCTTTGTTACATATCTGCACAGGAAATGTTAACCTGGGGAACCCATTTGATAATCTGCTCTGATATTTCTTCAAACAGAAACTTTATAACTTCAGGATGAATAAGTATCTTGCCACTATCATCTTTAATCACCAAATAATATTTTGTTGTTTTGTTGTTGAAGATGATTTGCCAATATCTTACTAGGTCACTATTTTCCCATTAGGTCTGTCTTAACACAGCTCATGAAAAATCTACCTGCTGTGAAAAAAAAGTATCCAACTCATATTTAACATGCTGTAACTCCTGATAAAGTTTTGTATTTGGGGAGGTATAGCAAAGTGATTTATAAAAATTTTCAACCTATCACTTAAAATGCATTTGTCACTCTTTTTAGAATTTATTTTTATGACAAGTATAAGAAATGGTTCCACACTGGATGCAAGCTTCACTGGCCTCCCATTCAGTGGAGCATGGGTTTGTTGTACCTCATTGATCTCAAAATATTCTCATAACTCAGTCAAAATCCGATTTTTAAAAGACTCATGATTTAACCAGGAAATTTTACATTACCAAAGACCAGCAGGCTTTGGTGTATTTGTAAGTTCAAGAAGATTGGGACATGTTCTGATATAATCCCTGTTTCAAACAACTACAGGCTCTGATCTGCTGTAACAAGGCTGTGGAAGCCAAAAAATAATTATGGTGAAACCATTATAGTGGACAGAAGATGTAAACATATAGTCTCTTCCACCGATGCAATTTTTCCAGAATTCAGGCTGAATTCTGCCATGGAAGCCTGAATTGCAAATTTTACTGATGCTTGCCTCTTAGAGGCCAGTGTATTTCTGTCCATGAGGGGATCTAAGATCTCATTAAAATCCCCTCCACGTAATCATACACAATAGCAAACAATGTGCTAAAACATTCATGAAACATGGCTGGAGAGTCATTACTGGGCCCATACTCATTAATCAAAGCCATTACTTTCTCACTGTATTTTCCAACCAGAATCACAATACAGACATCAGGATCAATAATAATTTATTGAACTGAAAACATGAGTTGTTTATAGATTAAGATTGCAACCCCTTTAAACCTGTTGCATAGACCTCTCCCACCATGTATCTTGTCAGTTGATTTATATCTTTCGCTGTTAGATATATTTCTTGTAATATATGTTCTCTATTCCTTTTAGAAAGCAGTTTCTTTGGTTTAATAGGAATCCAGAGTCCCTTGACATTCCAAGGAATCACTTTAAACATAGAGTTATTATGAATATTGTTTGCCCTTGTGCACACACAGATCTTGTCTTTTCTACCAAAATGAAGCAAACAAACAAAACCCTCAAACTGTTTCAAAGTAATTCATAATATAACTTATGGGTATCATACATTTTGTGATGCTTTCACTGAGATTCACAACCATATAGTGAAACAAAAACAATATTCGCACAGGGCGAAAGAAATGGAAAAAAAGAAACCCACCCAAAATCAAAAATTCAAAATAAGTAAAACTAAACAAAAGGAAAAAGAACTTTTCAGCCCCCTGCAATGCATCAACATAACCCATCAAACCCATTTCCTACTCAATCATTATACAAGTGGTTATTAAGACCTGAAATAGTATTAGTTAATCTTAACATTGACTAATAAAAAGGAA